CAACACATTTTATTTATTCATTCGTGAGTTGACAGGCATTTGGGTTGTTTTCCAGTTTGTGGCTATAATGATACTATGTGCATTCACGTAAAGGTTTTTTGTGTGGACATAAATTCTCAGTTCTTTTGGATGTATGTCTAGGAGTGGAATTGGCGGGTCTTATGGTGACTATATGTTTAACATTTCGAAGAACTGCCAGACTGTTTTTCACAGTGGCTGCACCATTTTATAATTCCACCAACAATGTATAAGGGTTCCAGTTCTTTCATATCCTCACCAAGACTTGTTATTGTGGGTCTTTTTGATTCATTCATCCATTCTTATACATTCAACAATTAATTACTGAGTACCTATGTGTGCTAGAGCCTAGGGTATAAAAGTTAGAAAATCACATAAGAAGCTTATGATATTTTGGCAGAGACCAACAGTAATCAAATGTTAATGCAAATAAAAGTAAAAATGCAGTTATGGGGGGAATTACAGAGGGGTAGTTGTGCATGATGCTATGTGACTATAATGCAGGCTTTCCTGGAGCTTTGACTTTGTGCAGGGGCTCGGGGAAGGTTTCCCTTAGGAGGCAATGATTGAGCTGAGATGTACAAGCTGAACGAGAGCTAAGTAGATGTTTGATTATAAACAATAGTGTTCATGGATCTCTGCCTCAGTTCTTCCTTCGTAATATGGAGTTTGCCAGATCCACATAACACTGTGGTTTGGGGAACTTAGTGAAAGCTATTGTTAGGGAAAGATTAGATCCCTCAATTAGTGAGTCTGGTTTCCAGTTGTAATCTTCTGCGCTCCCTCACTCTCCAGAAGAAAGGATCTCTAGACAAATGATGGTATTGATGGTGGTGGTGATGATGGTGGTGGTGGTGATGATGGCAGTGATCCTGATGGTGGTGTTGATGGTGGTGGTGATGGTGGTGGTGGTGGTGTTGATGGTGGTGGTGGTGATGATGTTGAGGTAGGCTGTGATTTGATGGTGCCTTCTATGCACCAAGTACTGTGCTAAGTAATTTAAAACATCTTATTCATCTCTTATAATGACACTGCAATAGGAGGTCAGCATGAGACTAGAATGAAGGAGAAAGGGAAAAAGGCAGTGGGGAAAAAGGCCCTGAGTTTATGTACGAAGGAATTGGACTTAGAGTTGAAGAAATGACTCTGAGGCAAATATTTCCAAGTCTGTGTTCAGAGAGCACCTGAAATAGGTACTTGGTTTCAGAAACTGTATTTTTATGCAATGTAGTTCTGTTTATACTTGAAGGGTATTTTACTTCTTGAATATGGAGTGCAATTTCTTTTATTTCAAATTACTTCTCTGGTATTAAACTAAATGGTTTAGCTTAATCACATATAACAAACCTCCCAGTGTAAGGGCCTGGATCCCAAATCTTGCTACAAATTAGTTTCTAGCCCAGGCAATAAATGCATACCTGGAGCAAATTCAAAAAGGGAAACCACTTTAATTAGGTTTGAAAGTGTCTCCAGTCAGTTCCAGAATAGCTGTCACTGGATTTATGATGTACCTTCCAAATTGTAACTCTTTTCATATTCAGCTTAAGTGAGACGGCCACAGAGAAACTGAGCTTGATTTCTTGAAACCTTAATGCTTATCTCCCCAAATAAGTGCCTCTAGAAAATATATGGGTGAGACAGATGGAAGGCAAGCCGGCTCACCTATCAGCCTGTATCATCGTTTCCACTTAACTGCAAGGGTTCTAGGATTAATCCAATCAAACTTTCCTTGGAACATTTCCATTAGTATAATCTGACCCCACTAATCTGTCATGCAACAGTTGCTTTCACTTTTACATTTATGCCCAAATGACAGTAATGCAGGCTCTCCTGGAGGAGGAGCTGGCACTGAGACTCAGAAGTTAGATGACTTGCAGAATATCAGTGAGTTCTACATGTCAGAACCAGGATTCAAACCCAGGTTACTCTAAATCCAGTATTTTGAGCCCAAGGGACATACTCAGAAGAAAATGTCAGCAATGAAAATAATGGTCAGTCATTTCACTTATGTGATTCCCAGCTGTTTTGAAGTTGAGTCACCTGTTCATCTTTGTTGGATTCTTTTAGTCTTGTTTTCCCAGCCATAATACATGAACGTAGCAAAACACGAGAAAGTGGACAGCATGGCATGGCAGAAAGGCATGAGGTTGGAGTTGGAAAAGTGGGACTAGAGCCTGGCTTTCCACTTCTCAGCTCTGTGACTCTGCGCTTAACCACTCTGACCCTTAGTCTTCTCTGGGTACAGAGAATTAACACCTCTGGGTAGAGAGCTGTGGCGAAGATGAGGGGAGAAAATGCCTGTGGACTCTAAATTGCCTTCCACGTTACTTACTGCTTTTAACATCTAAAAGAGTATGATGAAGTGTGGCAGGAGAAGTCTGCAAGGTCTGCTCTGAGAGGTAATTGGAGGTGTCGTACTGTGTCAGGAAGTCACCATGACGCTTAGCCTTGCGCACTCAACAGCCAGCTCTTTAATTCTTGCGTAAATGGCGTAGTAGTTGTGAAGGAGGTAGGACGTCAGGGTTAGAATTCCCAGTATCTCCACAGTGTGCTGGACACTGTACTAAAAACTTTATGAATATTATCTCATTTAAATAAATCTATGTGATTGGTAGTAGTATTAGAATCCTCACTTCGCAGATGGAAACTGAGCACAGATTGGTTCAATTTACTTAAGTTAGTTCAGCTAAACAATAATTTTCTTTGATCCCAACTTCTTTTCCCTTCCATTTCCTTGTTATTATCAAAGTAGTTTACCAATGGAGGTTTAACTGTTTCTCCTAGATGACTGTCATGTAACTTTAATCTGACTGTAAAGTGATGTGGTAGGCAGAGTAAATCTCCCCCCATACGCCCCCTGCCCCAAATTTTAGATGTCCCCATTATAATTTTAGGAGCTGTGAATGTGTTACCTTACATGGCAAAAGGGACTTTGCAGATATGATTAAGGTAAGGATCTTGAGATGGGGAGATTATTTTAGGTTATGTGGATAGGCCGAATGTCATTAAAAGGGTCCAGTGTAATACAAAAGCCAGAGACAGAGATATGAGGACAGAGCAAAGGCCGGAGTGATGAGTTTCGAAGATGGAGCAAGAGGCCAGAGCCAAGGCATGCAGGCAGCCTGTAGACGCTGGAAAGGGCAAGGACATGGATTCTCCCTTAGAACCTCCTGGAAGAATTCTGCAGTTTTAGTCCAATAAGACAGACCCATTTTGGACTTCTGACCTCAAGAGCTATAAGGCATTGGGTTTTAAGCCACTAAGCTTGAGTTGTGTTAAGTTTGTAGTAATCTGTTGAAGCAGCAATAGGAAGGTAACACAGAGGGTCAGACCAAATGATTGTTCTTGGCAAACCAACCAAACAAAACACCGTCATAAACAGTCAAGTACACATAGCTCTACTGTGGGCTGTAACATTCAGAGTGGCAGTGGATTGTAAAGCCAGCCAGTGAGGTCAAGGCCACACAGCTGGGGAGTGCAGCGCCTGGAATCCAAGTCCAGGTCTTTCCAATCATGTCACCCTCCTTTGTTCATAAATATGGCCTGCATAGTGACTCACTCCAGGGCCCACAGCTGGTTACCAGCAGAGCTGGGCTGGAACACGGTCCTCATGGTCCAAATCCTTTTTTTTTTTTTTGAAAGCAATGATGTAAATCACAGACTCATCACAGAATGGGGATGCCTGACCTGGTCCTCAGAAAGCAATGATGTAAATCACAGACTCATCACAGAATGGGGATGCCTGACCTGGTCCTCCT